TGCTGCTGCTGCTGCTGCTGCTGCTGCAGTTCAGGTCTCCGAGGTCGCTCCCTTCCCTCTCTCTCTCTCTCTCTCTCTCCCTGCTGTCTGCAGTCTGCACTCAACCAAGACCATTTCCAAAAAAGCTCCTTAGTTATGATCTTCTAGTGGCAAAGAGGAGGAGGACGAGGACGAGGAGGGTCTCCAGCAACTGCATTTGGATGCAGGAGATCTGGGTTCAAAGCCCCATTTGGCCAAGAAACAGCTCAGGTGCTAAACGGCCCACTGCCCACCCTCAGCCGAACGCCTCCCAGACAGAGCTGTAGCTCAGGCAGCGATGGGTGCTAAAGCACTGGTAGGAACTCCAGCAGATATTGCCATCAGCTGGTGTGCAGGCCCTTTGGAGTCCCCCTCTGACAGGCGTTCAGTCCTGTTCATGGTGTCTTCATGAGTGGCATCACGGCGGACACTCAGACTGGCGATGCCAATTTCAGGCCCCAAAGGAGAAGCTGGCACATGACTGAGCTTCCTTCTTTCTACTGTAGATACCAACATTCAAAACGGCTATCTTGGAGCTTTTTAAGCATGCTTAATACAGTCCCTGGTCTAGACAACTCAGCAAGGCCTGGGAAAGTCCAACAAGTCCGGTACAATGTAATGGCGAAGGGGCTGGGCTTAGACTGGGGATGCCCAAATTCAAGTCCACCCACAGCCATGGAGGCTCCACTTGCCCCGTCTCGGGCCAACCTCCATCGCGTGGGGATGAAATGAAGGGAGATCCTCATGTAAGGCGCCTTGGGCTTCTGAGAAAAGGAGGAATAAACGCAATAAGAGAAAGAGCATTTCCTAACAATCAAAGCACTCCAGAGGTGTTGGATCTCAACTCCCATAATCCCCAGCCAGCACGGTCAGTGTGAGAGAAGTCCACCTAATCACTTCCCACATCTGGCATGACACGGAGCTCCACATTACCACAGCCAGCACCGCTTTCCTTAAATTTCCCAGAGCGGTATGAAAGATGCTTCTGCTCTGTTTTGCGACCTGTCCTGTCCTGGTGAGCTCGGCCACTCCTGCAGGAAACCCAGTTTTTATTTATGATCAGCTTAACATCTCCCCATCAGCACTTTCATGAATCGCGTTAGTTTTTGTTCTTCTATTTGTCAAACACAAAAGGGAAATAATGTTTACTGGTCCTGAAATTTTTATCTTACCTCGCTATCAGAATGTTCAAGTCAGCCAAGAAAACCAGCGTGCGAGATCTGATCTCCGAATGTCTCCCCCACTACCACATTCACGCTGCTCTACCCTTGTCCATTTAAAACTGTGGAAGGTTTTCCGCGTCTGATTAATTGCTGTTCTATGGACTCTTAATACTGACCATGTTAAAGTGTCTGCACACCTATTGTGAAAAGGATGATTTGACACTTGCATGACTGCATTATTCTTCTCAATATTTTTTACACGTTCCAGTAGGTGAGGGCTTTGTATCCTGAGTGGTGGTTCAGAAACCAGCTAATAAGCTCCTGAAATAGAAGACAAAGCACCCCAATCTCCTTTTCTTTGTCGCAGTTCCACGTTTGGGGAACGGGCAACATCCGGACGACCGTTTTTCCACCCACAAAGACCCTCAGGTTCACTGAAATTACGAACTTCCTCACAACGTTCCACGAAAGTGGCCAACTTCACTGGGGAAAAGCAGGAGTCCGGGAGCACCTTCTGCGACCAGCCAATCGTGTCAAAAGGCATAAGCCGCCGATACCTTTTAACAGAATTTGCTGGCCGGCAAAAGCGCTCTCAGCCCCTCTTGATTTCTGGCTGCCAGAGACTCACACGGGACTCCTCCCGGGTCTCCCACTGAACTGTAGCACTCCTTCTGCGCAGGAGGTATATCAAATGCCTTCTGCCAAGGGGTTATGTTAACAGCTCTGAATGTGAGCCGTTAATAAAAATCTCTTACATACTTAAGACTACAGTAATTCCCAATTGGCTTTGCTGAAAGGAATTATTAAAGAGATACCATTAACAGCACTGGATAAGGAAGGATAAAAATGCACTTAATAAGGATCCATGGATAAGTGTGGCCGTGTATTGTTTCTTACTGAGTAATACATCAGGGGCTGCATGGAATGCGTGGGGCACCAGATGGAGGAAATGCCATCTACTCCTGCGCTGTTTCATTTCAGCGACGGAAGGTTTGACGGATTCTCTTCATAACGGACTTGAAAATTCTCCGTTAAGAGTCCCCCTGATTCAATACTTCTTGCATCTGGAGGGAGCCCTTTCAAACATGGATCCTGACACTTTCAATCATATAGTCCGGCAAGAACTACACCCTGCTCACTTAAGGCGAACCATGGGCAGAGATTTCAAGGAGGGACACCCAGGGGCAGAAAGTACTGCACTACTCAGCCTCCTCATTAGCTTGGAAAATGCCCACTTTTCATGACGCATTTCTCTATATCCCTTCAGATTCATGTTTAAAGGGAATGAATCTACAGGTTTCCACAGGCACAATCAGTGGAACCGCCAACCCCAAATGCAGAGGAACTAAATTACCACCTTCAGAATTCCTCTGATGCTTCAATCACCCTGTCGTTCTGGACTGTCCATGATGTCTGGGAATTGGAGGCAGCGGTTTATGGTGGCTCCTACCTAGCTGGGCGGGGTGAGAGGTCAAATCCTTGGATGCTCTTTTAGGGTGTGCTACAGGGCTCAGTACGCTCCCCTTGTCAGCCCTATCAGATAGACCAGACTAAGAAGGAGACACTGTGCACAGCTAAAGCTACTTTTATTAGAATAGTTATAGTAACAGCATCTTGCAAATCTGAATGTACTATCTTTCCTCCCTCTTTAATCTTTGTGAGAATTATGGTGGGGGAGCGGGTCTGAGGCATTTTCACAAACTACTTTCTTGGCCTGAGCTCAGTATCTGATCCTTGCTAGGTAGCAGATCTTCCCTCTGTCCTTCAAGGTGATCCTCTTTATTCACTACCCCCCAAACTTGTTTAACATTGGTATGAAGTCACTGGAAGAGATCACCCATCAGTTCAGGGTGAGCAAACGTTAATATGCTGATGATACCCAGCTGTACATCAAACTAAGTGACCCAAATGGCAGGTCTGGGAGACATCCTGACCTGGTGCCTAGATACAGTCACATTCTGGATGGGGAGAAACAAGCTTAGAGTCAACACAAGCAAGATGGAGTGGCTGTTAATTCAGAAGCCTACTGATGCCAGCATTACACCATCTTTGATTCTCAATGCAACTGTCCTCCCCAGAGACAGGAGGCTCAACATCTGGGGGTCCTCTTGGATTCACAGCTCCTGCCAAAGGAGTACGTGGAGGACATGGCTAGATAGGTCTTTGCTCAGCTTCTGCTAGTGTGCCACTGCTGCCTGACCTGGAAGGAGTCATTCATATGTTGTCAGCTCTTGTTTAGACTACTATAATTCATTCTACATAGAGCTGTCCTTGAGGACCACCTGGAAATTCAGTGGGTTCAAAATCTAGCAGCCTGCGTGCTTATTGGTCAGTCTTGATTCTGCCATAGTACAGTGCTTCAGCAGGATCTACACTGGCTACCACTCCACTTCCAAGTTTAATTCAAGGAGACGGTCCTGGGACCTGGGTATTGAAGAGACCACTTTCCCCTGATCAAATCCGCCTCTCCATTCTGGACAGTCGGAGAATACCTGCTCAGGGTCCCCACCTACCAGGAAGAGTAACAGGAGGGAGATTAAAGGCAGGTGCTATCTGTAGGGTTTGCCATCTATGCAACAGCCTGCACCCCAGGTGAGAACGGCCCCCATTCTCATAGTTTTCCAGAATACTGTAAAGAACTAGGTTTTCTGGAAGCCTTTCAGGATTGAGTCCTGAGCCATCAAACGTAAGTTTTAGTTTTTGTGACAGCTACATACTGTTTAAATTGTCTGTTTCCGTATTATTTTATTATACGTGTTGTAAACCATCTAGAATCCAGTTGGATTGAGGCAGAGAAAAAATTCATAAATAAAGGAATACATTCCTAATTCATATGCCCCTCCTTTGCTAGCTGAGAATTACAGAGGCAACGCTATCTGGAAAGGCACATTCAAATATTGGGGCATTTTTGGAGCATCTACAGGCAAAACCCCTGGACGCTGTTTCATAGCAGTCAAAGGCAGTTCTTGCCTATCAAGCCTTGGAGATATACAGAATTAGCATCACAACATTCCCATCTTCATGTTCTGAACATGCTTTACCAAACAGCTGGGATTCCATTGAACTGATGCACCTCGTGTCAATACACTGCAGCCCTGTGTTTCCCAAGCAACCAAATCAGTGATTCCACGTTCAAATTAAGCCAGATCTCCTTAATGCCATAGTAAAAAATAAATGAATAACGTGCTTGGCTTTGCAACAAAATTCACAATTGAAAAACCGCAATCCTTAC